CGATCACTCGAAAACACGTTATTAATCCGTTTGGGCTCGCTCCTTATAAATCTCACAGCGCGAGTACGTCATCTCAAAATAATAAAAAGAAAAAAAAGAAAAAGAAAGAAAACACACACAGCGCGACTGCGCGAGGTCCAGCAGGGAAGCCGGCCGCGTCGGCAGAGACTCCAGCCAACGGGCGCCGCCGCAGCCTCCGCCAGTCGGCAGTGGGAGCAGGCAGAAGCTGCAGCGGGGGGCCTCGAGCAGGTGGCGGCCTCAAGCGGAGGCGAGCAATCTCAGGGAAACCAAGCTCGCCGCCGTCGTACCCATTCTTCCGTCGCAGATTTCGCTGTGACTGGTTCCTTGTGATTGAATCCATAGGAACGGAACCCAAATCTTGGAATTGTTTTTGCAGTGCAAGTCTAATCCTTGGGAGGAAAAAAAAAAGAAAGCGTAATAAGGTTGGTTTCTTCTCCATCACTCCCATCACCTACCCACCTGATAACTCCTCTCCTCCTGCCGCCGCTGCTGCCACACTCCACCACTATCGTCGTCTTCTTATCACCCCTACCTCACCTGCAGTCCTGCACCAAGCAAGCAATCTCCAAAGTGCAAGCTTTCTCTTCTTCCTGCGTCTGGATCTCGCTCAGGTATGCGTCCACATTTGCTTTCTTCTTCCTCCATTCCCATTCCCCCCTACTCTCAGATGCGTGGATACCCCTTCCTCTGATCTACAGGTTTCTCCTCTGCCTGCCACTCCCCATGGCTCTGGATTCAGGTCGCTCTTCAGCATTCACTACCGTATTCACTTCTTGAAGGCCAATTTCTGGTTCCTCACCAAAGGTTGGTTACTCTTTCTTTCTTTCTTGTCATCCACTCCAAGTTGACTGCCTCTGTAAATATTCTATCTTTCCAACTGTTGCAATGGTAGCCCATATTTACTAGTATTTTTTCCCTTGGTAAGATCTAGTGGCCAATTTAACTTACATCTTCAAACGCCTGTAATCATCTATGTCAATTAATTATGTCAACCTGTAGCTGTTCGATTCTGAACAATAAGTGGGAACGGTAGTTGACAGGTCAGACCTGCTTCATTGATAATTGATACTGTCCAAATGGCGATGTGTTGTCTTGAACTCATGGTCATTATCTGGTTGCTACCATGTAGCTTTCTCATGACCACTAGTGTTGCCGACTCAACGAGTTGTAGTGTTCCTGACCATTCTGTTAAACATTCATGCCTTGTCTTTGTGGCAACACTAAGAACATTTGATCGGCTAGCAAGCTTATATGTACGTAACTCTTTTTGATTATTTCTTTCTACTTTACTGTCATGGCATGTGTTATATGCTGTTGCAGAAATGCACTCCTTTTATGTTTGAGGGAATGGTGATTTGCATTTGTGAGTGACATGTTCTTATCTTCCCCATCTAGGTACTTGATGATCCGAAGATGTCATCAAACTCCACTCTGACAGATTCTCTTCATGAGAGAACAATTGTTTTTGGCCTGAAACTTTGGGTTGTAATTGGGATATCTGTTGGAGCATCCCTACTTGGTGTTCTTCTCATACTTATTGTATGCCTCACCTTACAAACTTGGATCAAACGGTCACGTAGGACATTCAAGGAAATTCCAATTACCCAAATACCTTCTGCATCCAAAGATATCAAGGAAGTGAGGGCAGTGGACGAATTTTTGCCCAATGATTTCGTTGTACATGATGGGCTTCTACTCGCCATTCAGAATGAACCTGTTGAACCAGTGGATAAAGATGTGAATCAGTTTGCTCAAGAGGACAAGACGATACAAGGAGAAGAAAACAGTCCTGTTCCTCTTCATTACGTGGACAACTATGATGTAATTCAATCTGTTTCCACATGTGAACAGTCTTCCTCGCATGCTCCCGTCGACTCTGTTCTGTTGCCAGGCTTACCTGAGTTCTCTTACCTTGGCTGGGGTCATTGGTTCACTCTCAGGGATCTGGAACTTGCAACCAACTGTTTTTCAAAGGATAATGTAATTGGTGAGGGTGGATATGGTGTTGTCTACCGTGGCAGATTATCAAATGGCACCCCAGTGGCTGTCAAAAAAATCCTTAACAATCTGTGAGTATTTTTCGTTTTTTCTTATAACAATTCTTTGGTGATGCAGTGGCAGTGCATTGGTTAGTTTGTTGTCCTTCCTTTTACTTAAGCTATGACCACTTGCCTTGGGCAGAGGACAAGCTGAGAGAGAATTCAGAGTGGAAGTTGAAGCAATTGGTCATGTCCGACACAAGAATTTGGTTCGCCTTTTGGGGTACTGTGTTGAAGGCACTCAAAGGTATGGGTATTATTAGGATTCATTGCTTAGACTATGACCTGTTGTGTCTCAACTGAAATTGTTTGTTGTGCGTTGATAATCAGGATGCTTGTGTATGAGTATGTCAACAATGGGAATCTCGAAAGTTGGTTACATGGAGAGTTATCCCAATATAGTTCTCTCACTTGGCTAGCGCGCATGAAAATTCTTTTGGGTACTGCAAAGGCGTGAGTAACTCCATCACTGAGTCTAATCTATTGCTTCTTGTGGATTCAAATGTCCATTCTAGATCAATTGTTTGCTGTCAACATTGTATTTGTGATTTTGCGTGGTGCAAACTGTGAACTGATTGGATCTATATCTATTCCATTAAATGCCTTAGAACTAAAAATGTCGCCTTCTGATTGATTCACACAAGCACATCCAGTCTTGATAGCTGCTCTATTAAAAACTGTTGTGCATGTTACAATCTTGACAGCTTTGTGATTAAAGGCTTACTAGTCAGTACTGTTCACAAGTAGTCGTTGTCTATACTATCATGAATATAAAACAAGTATAGATTGTATCATCTTACTGCTTGGTAAATACTAATTTTGTACGAACCACCACATTTGCAGCCTTGCTTACTTACATGAGGCAATTGAACCAAAAGTTGTGCATCGTGATATCAAGGCCAGTAATATATTGATTGATGATGAGTTTAACGCCAAAATATCTGACTTTGGTTTGGCCAAGATGCTAGGTGCTGGTAAAAGTCATATTGCTACTCGAGTTATGGGTACTTTTGGGTAAGTTTTTCATGCCTTTGTATAATAAATTGAGGCATGTTCTCTTTGTATTACGTTCAAATCTTGGCCACTGTAATTTCAGAAAAATTCTGTTGGTGCTAATCACTAATGGTACTCAACATTGTGTTATTATTTTGCAGCTATGTCGCGCCTGAGTATGCTAACAGTGGACTTTTGAATGAAAAGAGTGATGTCTACAGTTTTGGGGTGGTTCTGCTGGAAGCTATTACAGGTAGAGATCCCATTGACTATGATCGCCCTACAGATGAGGTAATACTTGTTGATTTTTTTTCTGTATTGTTCAGTACCAAGTTATTACATAAAAGCATGCAACTACAATCACTTGTTAAGCAATCAAGAAGCTATGAACTTATGATTTGACAAGTACTGTAACACACTACTGATCTTTTGTAGGTAAACCTAGTTGACTGGCTTAAAATGATGGTTGCCCACAGACGATCTGAAGAAGTTGTTGATCCAAACCTGGAGAGAAGACCATCGACAAAGGAGCTCAAACGTGCCCTTTTGACAGCTCTGAGGTGCATCGATTTGAATGCTGAGAAGAGACCAAGGATGGACCAGGTGGTCCGGATGTTGGACTCTAATGAACCCATTCCTCAAGAGGTTTGATTCGTTTCAAAAATAAATGTGCATACATATATATCATATAGCTGTGTGCATATCAGATGCAAAGGCTGTAGCTCTAAACTCTTCCTTTACCTAAAGAGTACGATTAGTGATTTACCTGGAAATCATGCATATTCGTGCTATATTGTGTTATAAGTACATCCAATGTTCATCTCACAGTAAAATTAGTGACAGATGGACAACATGAGCAATCCTATTTGATTGTATCCTATATACCTGTCTTATCAGCATTATCGGACATAAAGAGCATTGCATAACATGGTATTAATGTCTACCATAAGGAAATCATGGCTTTATTCTGTCATTGCCTCATGAATTAAACACATGTCAATTGATTTGCAGGAAAGAAGACAACGACAGAACCACATCTCTAATAATTCAGAGACCGAGCCATTAAGAGGCAAGAGCAGCAGCGGCAAGAGTGATGCCCCTGAAAATGAGATGAGGCCACCTCGGTATAAGAATCGATCATTTCCCCCCAAGTGAAAAGTGAAAAGCATACTAGAGTGGAAGTTATGGAGTTACCTGCGATGCTCTCAATACATAATGAATTGGTCAATTGTTTTGTTTCTCTTTTATTATTTCTCTTGACTTGATCAATTTTTTTGTTCCCTGGGAGGCTGGGGGAGCGGCCATTGCAGTTACACATATTTGTATTTCTTGAAACATGTACAGTGCTGGTGTGTGATACATGTACAGTAGTTTGTGTGTGATAGATAGTTGAAGGATGCACATGAGAGCATAAAAGCTATTATTTAGAAGCTAGTGGCTGGTATGGTTGCTGGTGTGAGAAAGTGCATGAAGAAACCAATGAAATAACTTTTTCATATTTTCTGTATACTCTAAGAGTATAAAGAGGCAAATGAAAGAAAAATTGACTTTCAGTTTGTGTTGTGTGCGACAAATGAACGAACTGAATCTCTCAGTGGTCGAGTTCAGTGCTGTATTTATCAGCTCTTCAGGCAGGAGATAGACCATTCTCTGAGGTGAATTTGGCAGGTGTGGATTTCTATTGATACATGCAACCTCAGCAATCTGTGTTAATGAGAATGCCGTTTCTTGATCATGAACAAATATGAAAAATGATGGTACATGCAATTCAATGCCTCCAAATAAATGATTAATCAGTTGCTAATAGCATAAGAGATGCAATTCACAATTCGCATGCAACAGAGTAGTGTTGTGTATGACATACCGATGAAGTGAATCTGTCATTTATCAAGCTCACTTGTAGTTTTGTCCTTAGCAGCTCTTTTCCAGGAGATAATTAACCCATTAATAATCTTTCAGGTGAATATCTTTCTCTCTCTCCGAGGTAAGGACTTTTCTTGATACATGCATGCAACAAACTTCAATCTGTATTGTTGTTATACTTATACATGCAATTGGGCGTTGAAGTGAATGCTGTTCTCTTCTTAATGAATCAAATGTGAAAAATGATACATGTAATTAATTGAGTAATGCTGATCTCCAAATGATTAATCAGCTGCTAACAATAACATAAGAGATTAAGAGGTGATTAATTTGATGTGTTGGTCGAGGCACTAGCAGAGCGGCAGGTCGGGTGGAGGCGCCTCCAGCGACTGCAGCTCGCCGACGCCGTCGTCGACGAGGAAGGCCATGGCGAGGCCCCAGGTGATGTGCACGTCGAGATGGCAGTGCATCAGCCACACCCCCGGGTTGTCCGCCACGAACCGTATCACCGCCCACCCGTTCACCGGCACGCCCACCGTGTTCCTCATCGGCGGGTCCTCCACGTTGAACTTGCCCGTGTCGGCGCCGGCGTCGAAGTTGCCCAACCCCTCGGCGAGGATGTAGAAGTCGTAGCCGTGGAGGTGGATGGGGTGGTTCTCGCCGGCGAAGATGTTGGTGCCCTGGAGCACCACCTGCACGGCGGAGCCGTACTTGAGCTTGTACACCTTGGTGCCCGCCACCGGCTGCCACAGCGCGCGGCTCACGTTCTGCGCCGTGTAGTCGAACTGCACCGGCGGGTTGGCCGGGAAGTCGGCGGTGAACACGCCGCCGGGCGCGCCGTGGTGGTGCGCCTGGAGGATGGAGGTGGAGGAGGGGAGCACGAAGGAGACGTTGTTGATGCTCGCCGCGAACCGCGTCCCGTTGGGCCCGCCGCACTGCTGCGCCGTGGCGTTGGTGCAGTTGAAGAGGCCGACGCCGACGGTGAAGAAGAGGCTCTCGTCCACGCGCGACGGGAGCTCCGCCTTGCGGAGGCCGCGCAGGTTCGTCGTGAAGGCGGTGGCGGCGGTGGTGTCGTTGTACGCCGGGAGGGTAGGCATGGCGATGGCGGCGCTGGAGGCGTTGTTGGCGGCGCCGTAGTCGAAGATGGCGGTGGTGGTGGTGTTGTCGAAGGGGACGCCCTGGGCGCTGGCGTAGGCGCGGGCGGCGAGGTAGTAGCGGCCGGGAGGTTGGTCGAAGGTGACGAGGACGTCGGTGGTCTGGCCGGGGGCGAGGAGGAGGAGGGAGGTGGTGTACGGTTTGGTGTAGGAGGCGTCGGCGGCGACGACGGTCATGTTGTGACCGGCGAGGGAGACGAAGAGCTCCGTGTTGAGCGCGGCGTTGATGAAGCGGAGGAGGTTGGTCTCGCCGGAGGTGACGGGGAAGACGGCCGTGTCGTGGGAGGAGCAGCTGTAGAGGTCGCCGGGCTGGGCGTTGACGGTGAGGGCGTCGGAGATGTTGGGAGCAGCGCCGGTGCGCGTGGCGGCGCGCACCACGTCGACGGGGTTCATGTCCCACCACTCCCCTGTAACCAATTTTACACGTTTCAGGGCTCAACTCCTCAGATTTGATAAAAAATTTTAAATTTCAAACATTAATTTTTTTTAAAAAAATGCTTAGATTTTCTTAAAAAAATATACGTGGATTTGCATTGAAAATTATAATATCGTAAACTAATTATATTTTATAAACTTATTTTAGTATAAATCAGTTTGACTGTATTTTAAAACGTTCAGAGTTGCGTTTAGCCGCTGTAGAAGTTTTTTCCACTTCAGCTTTTGTTTTTCTTTTTCTCTCTTCTCTTGATATAAACTGGTATGGCTAATTGTGTTATATAACAAAAACTTTTTTCTTTTAATATATTGACGTGCAATTATTTTACACGTTTGCGAAAAAAATACCGTATTTTTAACCGGAGAGAATATGATTTTACTGATTTTAATTTATTGAGAATCAAACATGTAATGAGCCTGCTGGTATAGTGACATTCCTTCTGTTAATTGTACCAAACTGCCAGAGTAAACATGGATTTGCAACATGGAAATCCATGGCCTTAATTAGCAGTACAGTAGCACCAAACCATTTTGCTTATCAGACTTGTAGTGTATCAACTATTAACCATTCAACCTTCAACTAATCTTTGTCTTTTTCTTGTGCTCAAGTGACCCCTGTAACTACCAACATGTTCTTTTGCTTAAAAATACGAATTCCTCTTATTCAACCACTAAAAATACAAAAGGGAATAGCTAACCCTATACATTGAGCCATGTCGGCTACAAGCTCACAACGACATTCTGAATAAATGGCTGAATTGTGCAATTTTTGATTATGTGGTTTCCCCGAAAGTTCTACTTTTGAGGACTGAGGACGAACCTTTTCAAACAATGGGACATATGCTCCTAAGAACATTTTCTTCACTTTTGACATGTTCAGACTAGTGTATGCATCTCTCTACAAATTGATAACTTTTAATGCAACCTTCTTTTGTTAACAAATAAAAAGTATGTATTGCAACCTTGCATTGCACATTCATTGAGAATATTTTCTTAATTATTAGGGAGCAAAACTTTGAGACAAACCTCAAATGTACTTTGTAGGAGAAAGATGATATCTTAGTTCTTAAGGTTCAGGTACATGTAGGAGTATAAAAATGTTTGTAAAAGTAGCTGGCTAGCTCTGAGGAATATTGAGCATTGAGCATGCTTTCAGCATCAATTTTGCATAGGCAGCATGTGCATGTTTAAGTTTTGCGCCAGAATTCAGATTGATGAGTAAAGAAGGATCTGAGAAACATGCACAATGATGAAGTTTTTGATACATAAACATGATTGGTTAGCTAGCTTTTTCTTGAGATAGATCATGTATGGCTCTTTGGAAAGCTATGATACACTGATGCTTACTTGTTTGGTAACCCTGCCCTGACTCATGCATGTGTTTTGACTTTGAGCTAAGCAGCTTGTAGTAAGCTGGTACCAACCAACCTAAGGGCTAGAAAGCTGTTTTTTTTTTTTCTGATGAAAGGAAGATGTGGTTGATAACAATGATAAGGCCAGTCACAATGGCTAGTGTCATTGCACGGCTACCCAAAATATTATACCATCTTCTCTCAAATGAAATCTTTTATGAAACAATCCCCACAGTGGAGGGGTTTCACTTTGACGTTTCCAAGACTAAGCAAAGCATTTAATTGATACAAGTTGCTGGGATCATTTGTACCCAAAATCCGGCGCGGCGCGGGAGAATGCGGAGGTCGCACGGCGGAGGCGGACGCAAGAGATCCGGTGAATGAAACGAATCGGCCTCAACGGGGGTTTCACTCTGTTACCGAGGACTTGGAAACGACGCTGACGAGTTTCACCAGGATGAAACTCTTTCCTTCTCTCTCATCCCCATTTCATGCAAATAATCATTTTTTATTCAGTCTTACCCCTATTAAATGTGCATGACACACCAGTGAAACCCCCATTGTGACTGGCCTAATAGCCGTTAACATGCGTGAAAAGCAGCTAAATTATGACAGCTTGACCCCACACTATAGCAATGGTACCGACCGACCAATCGTGGCTCTGAGATCAATTTAATTCCAATAAATTAATGTGCTATAACTATCATTAGCTCGCGGCATGCTATTCCTGATCATGAAAAAAAAATATAGAGGAAGCATAAAAATGCATCTTCTTTTTCTTTGGCTTTATAAATCTTTTGCATTTCGGCCAGGACATACCTTTTGACCTGTAAGTGATTGGCTGCGTGAAATTTCAGTGATGATGGTTGCACAATTTTTTGTAGGTTTGGTAATGTGTGTACACTATCCAGCTAGGCAATAGTGGTGAAAAAAAAATGCTCTCTCCATTTCATAATACTTTGCAATTTTGAGTTGGCATTTTTGTGTGTGAACATTTATACTTTAAAGATAAAATCATAGGTATTAACAAATAAACCATATTACTTAAGTACTACATTGCAAATGTATAAACATATAGATCGATATCATCCATAATAAATTCATGATCAAAATGTGTTAGAATAAACCGGTAGGATTTCAGTGAGGTTAAGAACATAGAAGCATGTGTGTGCGTGTAGCGGCGTGTATGCATCTGCTATGCGATTGCAAAAAGAAAAATACCAGAAGTCAAATTAACTAAACAAATTGGCGGCCAAAATAGTGAGACAGATAATAATTAAAAAGCATGTAGCAGAAGAAACGTACGTACCGAGCAGGATGGGGGCGAGCTCTCTGGTGGGCTGGACGTCGAAGGGGTAGCTGGTGCCATCGCGGGGGCGGATGAGGAGGGCGCCATAGACGGTGGCGCGGAGCCAGGAGGAGTGGGCGTGCCACCAGAGGGTGCCCTCCTGCGCCGCCACCGTGAAGCGATACCGGTAGCTCTGCCCGGGCCTCACCGGGCACTGCGTCACGTACTCCGGCCCGTCCGACCACCCCGTCCTCATCTGCCGCACCCCGTGCCAGTGCAGCGTCATGTTGTACCTCCCACGGTTTATCAGGTTGATGATCAGCGAGTCCCCTTCGTTTATCTCCAGCGTCGGCCCCGGGAACTGACCGTTCACCGTCATTATGTTGTGGCTCTTGCACAGCCTCTTCACTGTTGTCTCCCTGATCTGCAGCACAGATGATGAAATGGCAACCAAATTAAGCTAGCTGCTGCAGATATATATGATGAGATTCAGACGAGCTAAGTAACTGCATATAAATGATCATGTATATATGTACTGACCACAAACTCATGGTATTGCTCCTTGGCAGCAGCCAGGGAGCAGAGCAGTGCCAGGCTTAAGAGCCAGCATGAACACCCTCTGCTTGGCATGCTGCTTGATAGTCTGAAACTAACTATATACTGCAACTCGATCGGTCGATCAATCAAGATGCTTATTGTCAGCAACCAAACATATCTGGATAGCTATATGCAAGCTTACAAGACCTGAGACTGAATTGATTGCGTGCAGCAATGCAGCTTATATCTGTTGCAATACAGCTCGCCCTTTATATAGGAGCAGCCTGGCCGATCGACCACATCCATGAGATCAGAGTATATATATGAAAAGAAAGGGGCTACAGGTAGTAGACTCCGGCCGGTTGCATGCTTTCTTGTTGGAAAGAATAGGTAGGTCTTTAGCACTTGATTCTCTCGTTAATCTACATATATACATGCCATCATTAATTTCACACTTGCATTTGCATTCTTCATTTCAAGCTGCCTCCTCAATCAATCCATGGTCCATGCGCATTGGCTAATTAATTGTTCAATGTACTTGCCAATGAATTCATAGTTAATGTAACTCCTTCCATTTTAATTCATTCTGCAAGATTAGTACTTAGTGAATTTTGCTACAGTTTTGATTACAAACCGATCATGCGATGGAATATTTGCGCTTCAGGTAACTCGTGTGATATATGATGCGTCCATCACAAGTTATGTTTTCCCCCAGGACAACATGACACAATCATAAGAGCACTCCAAGACTAACGAATGTGACATTTCAAGATTTTGTCCTAAAACTACACAAACGAGATATGATCCTACTGTGTTGCATGATGGATTGCAGTGTTAAAACGTAGAGTCATTCCTGCGACCTTGATTTGCACTGCAAGTGTTATTTTAGTCAATGTGGTATCATGCTAACCCCATGCAAGTTCTTGATTTTATCTTCTGTCCTACAAGTACTAAAGAATCAGTGAACCAACACGCATCAACTTCACCTAGTACTATCTATAATGATCTTAAGATTTTTTTTCATCCTATCAAAACCCTTCCTTCACTTTCAGCAAGAGAAAAAACAAATGTAAACTAAGTATTTAACACGTCCATTTCTTAAGTTCAGTTCTTAAAAACGGTGCTTAAAGCTATAGTCTTTCGATCAGTATTTTTATGACATGCATAAATATCACAGAGATGCATGTTGCATCTTGCATGTGCATGACCGGCCATTTCTATAATTATATGGTGAGCCCTCTATATCAAGAAATTCTGACCTCAAATTATACTGAGCTTTTCTCCCGTTTCAGGGAATCATGAGGAATGAATTAACGTATCATTTCCAGTGGAGCCACCAGTCCCACAAGTCTCCACTGGCCAAAAAAGTAACTTTAGTTTTTGCCTCATTTTGTTTAGAACAAAAGACAACATTTTTTTCAAGTCCAAGAAACAAAATGTTGTTAACAGGATGAGACTTTTCCAAGTCTCTATGGCCCCCATGTCAACAAAGGTTAAGTGCTTGATTAACAACTTCTTTTTGACAATAGAATCAATCCATGAATCACTCCCTTCCTTTCCATCATTGTCTAGCATATGCATAACTAAAACTGTGATTACTACTCGTAGTTAGCAGTTACACTGCGTGGTCTTTGCTCTGGTAGGAGTTGTTGGGCTTGTGCTCTAGACATTTGCATTTTTTTTAGATAATGGATTAAACATGGTGTTTACTGCTGTTTGATCGCACCATTCCATTTGCTAGAGTCCAAGGAACCTAGCTAAGATGTGATGTACACTAACAAAGGTAACTTGGTTATGGAGGTAGAGATCAAAAGTTTTTAGAATTGTGAATTTTTGTTTGAAGGACTACATGTACCTATATATTAATTTCCCTGTTAAAGAAGTTCTCGTGATGCAGATACTCTTGTGAGTAATAAGTAAATAATGTATATTTCAGGCAAATGAATTTTCTCTTCAACATAAAAAGGGAAAAGGAGCTACTATTAGTTGAAATTCGGATCTACATAATGGGCCAAATCCTTGCCCCATCAAATGATTCATTTCCACAAGCTCTGATTGGCAAAAGTATTGGAAGAAGCATGCAGGTGCTAAGCTGCTAACTACCACATATTCAATTGCAAGGACTGTTAGTAGGCAAACGTCCAACCCCTTTAGCTTTATGTGGTTTCTTCTGTTCAAGGTAATCTAAAGTCAAAATGTTAACACTAGGAACAATCTTCAAAATGAAGGAACATGCTATTGGCATGAGCAGGATCAGGATGGTTTCCTTGGTTGGCAAAATATTTTAGGCTGAGGCTGATATATAGCTTGATACCAATTTGGAGGCATTTAACAACCCTGGTGCTCCACTACTTGTCCTTTCAAAATTGAAAAGATGCTTCACATGTTGGTGCATATGCACTGAATGCCCCACAATGTTCTCTAAATTGCACTCTGCTGTACGTTACTTGACTGACCAGGTGTATTATGAATCTGAACAATTGGCTGCGCTCAACATATGAGAGAAATCTCAGACAAAAAAGATTAATGATTATGAATGGTTGATTGAATTGGCACGAAGGCAGTGGTGGGGAGCCAAAGGAGTGTGCAGTTATGCAACCAACAAGCATGAGTACTGACCGTCACTAATATTCTAAACCTTATTAAACTTTTAGATGATTATATTTTCATAAAAAGGGTGCAACAAACGTTTTTGAAGGAAGATGTTACAGCAAAAGAAGCATTAAAAAACATTCAGATAACAGATTGTCATCTTTGTTGCAAAAAGTTAGGTACAATGATAATTAATTTCAGATGTCAAGTTTTCATGACATACATCAACCAAACTTGAATTGGAATGCTAGGATTGGTTCATGGAGTTGTATATGGTAGTAAATGTCATCATTGTCCTTTAACAAATAGCTAGACATCATGGCCCTTAAGCTGGAAGTTAACAGGAATCATTTTCCTAAAACTTCCATAGAAGTGATGCAGTACCATTGACACTACAAAATAACTGCATTGTCACTACAAAGCTCTTCACAGTTGTCATTCCCAAGAAATTACTTTGCATTTCCAAATGAATCCTTGTAGATAAGTTACTTGAGTAGCGAAGAGTAAGATGGAGCTATGAAGAATAAATGCTAGAATAGTTGTAGCATTAGTAGTAGGTGGTGGGTGTTAAGGAGGGTTATGGTGAGAACGACGGTAACTAACAAGGAGAATATGTAGAGTCTGTCAACATCCAACATTCTTTCTTCGAAAAAATTCCTGTCTAATGTAAAAGTGATCGACTCCAAGTCAGTACAACAGCTATGGAACAGGTAACCAACTGAACCGAAGGGTATTCAGGTGAGGTTGTTTTATGTAAACATATCTTTTCTCTTGAGCAAACACGATTCCAGTATTGACATATGCAGCTACCTAACACAGGTGTTAAGCTAGAATGTCAAATTGTTTGGTACTAGTGATTAATATGGTGTGCATATACCCACCTGCCACATCACAATGTAAAAGAAGGGATACCATGTTGATATGTTCAAGATGTAGTAGCATACAACTGTAAAGTACTAGGTCAGTAGCAGATTAGTCTCTACATTTTTCGCGGCCTGTACATTTTATCAAAGGAAACAACAGAGAGAAAAATGCAACAGATTGATTGATCTGCATGACTATATGTATTGACTAAGTTGTTTAATTGAACTGACGAAATGTGCGTTTGGAGTTTGGACTAAATGGTACAGGCTCAGAGTTTTTTGGCCTGCCGTGAATAAGGGCAGCAGGCACATTTCAGAAAGCTTGATTGCTGTACCTTTAGCTTCTTGCTTTGTTCAGAGGAACATCTTCACTTTCTTTTTCTGTTTGCGTGCTTCTGGAGATATTCAGGCTACTAATTAAACAACCAAACAGAGCATAGTATTTTATCCTTTTGTAGGCTTTTTATCTCCTTTATAAACAGTTTCCCCAGCTGTCATATTCTATCAATAAAGAACATGGACTTCTGGAAGCAAAATTAAGGGTACTTTCAAATTTCCATACTGAATTGCTGAATGTTTGCTTCTTATGAGGGAGACGTTGAATGCTGATCGAACAATGCGTTGTGTGTATCTGTGATACTTGTTCTGGAAAATTAATTTTAGGAGAAGTGTTCTGAATTGCTGAATGTTATTCGCGTTTCACAAAGTTAAATTCTCGTCATCAGAAAAGGAATACTTTCAGGTTTCAATTTCCCGGTTGAGTTTTCAGCGGTGGAGGAAGAATTGATAAAGGTGCTTATAAAAATTCTAACCATGAATTTTCTACATGAACGCGGCGACTGCTCTAGCTGTATTCCTTTATGTAACACCGTGACTGACTAAACCTTGTTTGACATTTACTTCTAATATAATAGTGAACGGCAGAGTCTGCATGTTCTCTCGAAAAACTTTCACACAAGAGTGATTTTACGTGCTTAAAAATGTATTGGAAGGTATTACATTTTCTAATGTAAAATTTGATACTTCTCAGAACCTCCAGTACAGAATTTGCACTAAAAATATTATTACTTATTTGTATCTCTCAAGGACTGTAAAATTTCTCTTCACATATGCGGAAGATTCTAACCATAAACTTTATACGAAAATAAAAATATATATTAGAAACTTCCAACAATTGTTAAAAGTTCTACCAGAATATACAACTTTCTACCAAAAAAAATTCTAAATTGGATAATTTATAGTGACACTTTTATCAGGGAAAAACAAACTCGAAGTCTCGAACATGTACTTTGTACAAGAATGAAAAGAAATCTTAAAATGGTTAAATTTTGTTTTAAATACGACTAATATGTTTTTTTTAATTCAATACGACTAATATGTTTTGATGGTCCTAGAAGGCTAGAACAAGCTAAACAGTCAGTAGAATTCAATAATAATAATAAAAAAAACAATTGAGCCAAATAAGTCATTTGGCCCAAGCGGCATTGCTAGCCCACGAGGCCCAGGCCACGTTCGAGAAAGAAACGCGAGAATAGATCGACGCTGCCGCCGCCTGAGCCTGCTCTGCAGTACTTCTCCGGCAGCGCCGGCCGCCGGCCCGGGTATCAATCTAGGGTTTCCGCCCGCCGCAGCCACCTAGCTAGCTAGTTCAACGTACGATGACCATGGAAGATGGAAGCTGTCCTCCAGCAGTCGCCCCCAGTGGCAGCCAAGCCGAAGATTACGGATCATGGACACTGAAGCAGAAGCTTGAGGATCTCATCAACTGTGATCCTATCCATGGTATCATGCCAAAAAATCCTAAATATAAAGCATATTTCGAGGAAAAGTTCGAGGTACGTATTTTCTTCGATCCATCATCCATGGATGCAAACTAATTAATTAATTAATTTTGACCTCACCAGCATATATATATTTATTTTATTGTATGCAATCGATCGATGGATCAATCTATCATAAATATTATTGCCATTGTAGGAGAAGTTAAGTACGTACGTTCGTGTTGTATTGCCGAAACTTCGTCCAGCAATTCAGAAGGATAGCGTGAAGCAATTCTATCAAGTCTATAATTGTTGGTCAGGTTTCATGGGACTGGGAGAGTTTCTTTACCCTGATATCCTCACCAACATGGCCTCCCAGAACGCTCTGCGTTGTGCCAGGGTCGCACTCCAGGGCACCTCTCCTCTCTTGCGTTGCCGCCGCCGCGCTGACCCCAACACCCGCCACCGCTACGGCTTCGCCCCCCTGCACATGGCCGCCGAGAACTTCAGCGTCGACATGGTCAAGCTCCTCTTCCGCTGCGGCGCGTCCGCCAACATCCGCACCAAGGGCGACAACGTCATTGAGGGCCTCCTCCCTCTCCATGTTGCTGTGGAGAATGCCAGCATGCACAAGTACATTGAGGATCATTGGGCTCATGGGGACCATATCATCAACCTCATCTTCCTCCTTTGTCTTCCTGAGATGGTTTTTCTTCTTTATTCAATTCCTATATATATCCCTCTATTATATTACTGCCACTGCCAGAGCATTTAGCCCATTTCAAATACGTACTACTGACATGCAGAAAATGTTCTTGGACACGACTAGATTAATTGCCAAACAGACGGACAACATTGTCGACGAGGTATGGAATTACATTCAGCATGAAGAGAAGCATGTCCAGGCAGCAATTTTGCTGCTCGCTGCTGAAAAGCAGCTCCGTGGTCGCCTTAACAAGAGCAGTGGCAAAGCCTCTCTGAACGGGTTTGATATTGTTAAAAGCCGCATTGGTGATGCTCTTAGCACCATACATCTTGAGGGCTTAAATATGGTTCAAGAGGGAAAGAATGGCAGGGCACTAAAGAGATTGAAAGACAAAAAGGAAGCCCTTCTTACAGCACTTGTACTAGTGTGCATTGTTCACAAAGCTGGTGAAGCTCTTGACGGATACATTCAAACTCATTCACAGGTAATTGCTGAAATTTCCTCATTGTTACCATTGCTTTCTGCTACCCCTGTGTGTTTTGATTTTCCAGTTTCATTCTCTTTAAATTTGTGTGATGCTTACTTCCCATGATTTTGATCTAATAGTGACTCGTTTTCTTCAAATTTGTATGATGCTTACTTCCATGATTTTGATCTAATAGTGAAACCTCGAATTACCCTCGTTTTAGAAAGCTGTGGTGGGCTAGCTGGCTTAGCTTCGAAGCCTCACCCATTCTAATTATTTTATATTAGGTCATTCCCTAATATTCGCTTTTTTTTAGAAAGCTGTGGTGGGTGTTGATCGTTTTTCTTTTTCTTTTTGGTGATATGTAAACAGTTGGAGGAGCTCCTGCTGCATTGTATCAACTAGTCACATCCATATTATAAAAAGGAGTTAAAAAGAACTGGACCCATGCGGTAAATGGCATCTTTTAGCCCCCATTTTTATGTAAATCCAAGAAGTTGAATAGCAGGCCCAGCATAGCGGTAGTATGCTGCTAGTTTCAAGTCTAATGCATGAGTCGAAAATATATGAAAACACAGGGGAGTAGATGCAGTGTTCTTAAAGCGAAGCATGGTGGCCCACCACCTTTCAGATGCCTATGAGTTCAACGCATAAGTCAAGGTGACACCTTAGGGCAGTAGTAGTCCAAGGCACGGCATGCGTGCCTCCATCCCATTCCAGCGAGGATTTTGGCCCAAATTTTATCTCTAGGTCACGCACCTCACAGTGCTCGGTACCCCACAATACTAGTGCGCCGTGTCTTATCCTCACGCCCCAAAAAATCAGCCTTCATCCAGACTCATCCCCGCCCGCCGCTTTTCTCCTCCTCCCTCGTCACGCCCGACGCCGTCTCTCCTCCTCCTCGGCTCTCCCCTCCTTCCTCCGCCGGCGTCCTCTCCTCCTCCCTCCACCGGCGTCCTCCCCTACTCCCTCGACCGGCCTCCTCCCCTCCTCCCTCCACCGGATTCACGAGATAAACTCTCGCTGGATTCGATAGGTGCTCAGAGAGAGAGAGAGAGAGAGAGAGAGAGAGAGAGAGAGAGAGATTCGAATCCCCCACGGTGGTCGCCAAAGATGAAGCCGCCGCCGCCGCCGCGGAGGTGGTTCTCCCTCGCCGGCGAATTGAGCCTCCCCAACGATGGAGCGGCAAGCTCAGCAACACGGGGGCTCGTGAGCGGCGGCGCTGAGCAAGGTTGTAGCTAGAGGCCAGCCGTCGAGCTTGGAGCGGCCCCATCCGTCTCCACCCAAGCCCCTGCCGCCTCCGCCTCCGTCGTACGAGCAGGCGGTGGGGTTGTCGAGGATCGCGAGGAGCGAGGTGGGGTCGTCGAGGAGGGCGAGGAGCAGGCGAATCAAGCAACGACTCCAACAGCGCAGATTTCCTTCGCCGCGTGCCCTCGTTGCGGCGAGAAAACGTGCATCCCAGATAGGGGCCAAGCGGCTGAGCTAGGGTGCGGGCCTCGTCGCCACGTCGACCTGAATCCGAGCTGGAGCAACGAGATCACGCGCCAGGTCGGTGCACTGTGAAGGGCCTTACATCTAAATCTATACAAATGCTGCCAACTTTTGTATTACACACGTGCTTACCAATTATTGAGCCCATGTACCATTCATTCATCCTTTCTAAAGAAGATTTAAGAGGAGGGAAGAGGGTCCTCTTTGTTGGAAATATAGTCATTATTCGGCATATTTTAATCCAAGAAATTGAAACAATGATCATGGCATAAGCAGTGTAGGGTGATCTTAACATAACCAGTAGCATACTATGCGCATCATGAATGTCAGAAACAGGAACATACCAGTAACGCGATAACATGCTAGAGGCATCATGTAGAACAGGAACAAGAACATAGCGCACACAGTATAGCGCTAACAATGGGAACAGGAATAGCGCTAACAGCAGTAGCAGGAGGAGAAGATTATACCCCGAGAATGGCCCTCCGCTGGATGGTGAGGCAGAATTGCCTCCGTTGTTGTAGTCGTTCACGGCACCTCCTCCTGGCGCACCAGCTCCGGATCCAGCTCCTGTCGGCGGCGGCGCACCAGCTCCTGTCGGCGGCGGCGCACCACCTCCGCCGGTAGCGGCGGCAGCAACTCCAGACATGGCGATGAGCAGTCGTGCAGGAGGCACTCCCCAAAAACCTGATCACCCGCCTACCCGGTGCAGATCTCAAGCAAAGGTGTGGTTTCGGAGGCACTGCTTCTTCCAATCTCTCGTGCGCGCAAGAGATCAGAAGCGGGGAAGCGAGAGCAACTCAGGCGCGGAGAGGGAGAAACTAACACCGGGAAAGAAGCTAAGAAATCGGATCGGACTCGCGGCCTCCTTATCTATCAGGAGAAAGAACGTGGACGCGCTGTTGCGGAGGGAATCGTGGGAACGTGGGTTAGTGGCTGCAAAAGGATAGCGACGTGACGTGACGCACGCCGCCAGCCAGCCAGCCACGCCTCGCCCTCGCCCACGCCCCGGCCCGGCGCGCGCGCGCGCGCGTGTGGCATTCCGACCCCCACCTCAACTGGTCAACAGGGAGCCTCTAATAACTCCCTATTTAGGTTGAGATATTTCTCGCTTAAATCCTGAGGTGGTATTATTATCCTCAACATTTATTATGGGCCTTTGAGATTTAATATTATAAATTGGGCCTAGCCCAATTATTCTAACAATCCCCACCAAATTTCAAGGCTCATAAGAAATGTTCTCAATGTTGTGCCTGTTTGATATACCAGGGTTTTGGTGGAGACTGTTAAGTTGAACTTCCACCTAGAAAATGAGCTACATCAGACCACAACTGAACAATGGACTATGCCTTGAATTGTAAGTTTTGTGTGATCAGGTTTCACTCAGAACCTTGACTGGTACTGGGCTGCCGTTCGCATCCCCTCTGTTTGGAGCATATAAGTCAAACTCCAGGCCTTTCATGAGTATCTAGAGATTGCCCAAACCTCATAGACTGTGACTAGCAGTCGAACTCATATAGGTGTGTTCCTTCTGAGATGTTCTGCAGGTCAACATCTCTGCTTGGAAAAGCCACTCGGATCACATTAAGACATAAGCCATCCTACCATGCAGGAAAGAAGAGAAGCACATCATGAAAATGAGCCCTTTTCAAGGGTCTCTTCTCTCAGTCACACAATAGTTTGTTTCACCATTCAAATTCACGGGATCTCCGATCACAATGGACAGGTTTCCACTATTATGCAACCTTAGGTGGGTATCAAGCCCATTTCCCTCGATGCACTGTCTATCACATTACGTGGTAGCCCCTTGGTAAACTGATCTGCCAGATTTCTAGCCGTTTGGACATAGTCCAATGCTATCACTCCGGAGTTTTTTTGCTTTCTGACAGATTTCAGTCTTCTCTTGATGTGTCTAGATGACTTCATGTTGTCCTTTGAACTGTTCACTTTAATAATCACTGTTTGATTATCGCAGTTCATTAGGATAGCTGGCACTGGTTTTTCAACCACCGGCAAATCCATCAGGAGTTCACGAAGCCACTCGGCCTCAACTGTCGCAGTATCTAGTGCTGTAAGTTCTGCTTCCATTGTTGACCTCGTTAAGATGGTCTGCTTGCAAGACTTCCAGGAAACAGCGCCACCTCCAAGTGTGAACACATATCCACTTGTGGCTTTTATCTCATCAGCATCAGATATCTAGTTTGAGTCACTATACCCTTCTAGTACTTTTGGATACCCGGTATAGTGAATTCCATAGCTCATAGTGCCCTTTAGATAGCGCATTACTCTTTCCAGAGCCTGCCAATGATCATCTCCCGGATTTGAGACAAACCGGCTCAGCTTGCTTACAGCAAATGAGATGTCAGGCCTCGTTGCGCTAGCCAAGTACATCAATGAACCAATGATTTGAGAGTATCTTAGTTGATCCCTTGCTATTCTTCGGTTTTTCCTTAATAGCATACTGGGATCATAAGGAGTAGGAGCTGGCTTGCAGTCACTATATCCAAAGCGACTCAAAACCTTGTCCACATAGTGGGATTGCACAAGTGTAATCCCACCCTCATCTCCTCTTTGTAGTTTGATGTTAAGAATAACATCAGCCTCTCCCAAATCCTTCATTTCAAAACTCTTGGACAGATAGTCTTTGACCTCCTCAATCACATTAAGGCTGGTCCCAAAGATCAGTATGTCATCGACATACAAGCACAAGATCACCCCTTCTCCCCCACCATAGCGATAGTATACACATTTGTCAGCTTCGTTCACAACAAAGCCTGCAGATGTAAGCGTGGTGTCAAACTTCTCATGCCATTGCTTAGGTGCTTGCTTGAGGCCATACAAGGATTTCAATAGTTTACACACCATTCCCTCCTGACCTTCTAGTACATACCCGTCTGGTTAATCCATATAGATCTCCTCCTCCAGCTCTCCGTTTAGGAAAGCTGTCTTAACGTCCATCTGATGGACGAGAAGACCATGAGAGGCTGCCAGAGCAAGTAGTACTCGAATCGTAGTCAAGCGAGCAACTGGTGAATATGTGTCGAAGAAATCCTCGCTTTCCTTTTGGGTATAACCCTTGGCCACAAGCCTTGCCTTGTACTTTTCGATTGTACCATCAGGCCTAAGCTTTTTCTTGAAAACCCATTTGCATCCTACGGGCTTGCACCCATATGGACGCTCAACGACTTCCCAAGTACCATTAGACATAATCGAGTCCATTTCACTGCGTACTGCTTCCTTCCAGTAGTCAGCGTCAGGAGATGAATATGCCTCTTCTATGGTTCTTGGGGTGTCATCCACGAGGTATACAATGTAGTCATCTCCAAAGGATTTTGCAACCCTTTGTCTCTTACTCTTGCGAGTATCTACAATGTTGTCCTCCTCAGGATTTTCCTCAGGCGTTTGATCATTGTGTTCTATCGGTGCAAAGTGCTCATGGGGCATGACAGTTTCTTTACTAGAAGTGCTAGGTGTATATTTCATAGGAAATTCATTCTCAAAGAATGTAGCATCTCTGGACTCAAAAATTGTACCAGCATGCATGTCGGGTACTCCAGAGTTTACTATTTAAAATCTATAACCCACACTGTGGATAGCATAACCAAGAAACACACAATCAACAGTTTTTGGTCCAAGTTTCCGCTTTTTGACTATAGGTACATTTACCTTGGCCATACAGCACCATGTTCGTAGGTATGAGAGATTTAATTTCTTCCTTTCCCATTCCTCGAATGGTGTTACTTCCTTATGCTTCATTGGAATTTTATTCAAGACATGACATGCAGTCAAAACTGCCTCACCCCACCATTCCTTGGAAAGCCCCGCAGTGTCTAACATGGCATTCACCATCTCAGTTAGAGTACGGTTCTTTCTTTCGGCCACCCCATTTGATTGGGGTGAATAGGGAGGCGTCATCTCATGAATAATTCCAAACTCTTCGCAAAAGGATGCAAACTCATTAGAAAAATACTCCCCACCTCTATCAGACCTCAACCGTTTGATTTTCCTTTCAAGTTGGTTTTCTACCTCAGCTTTATAGATTTTAAAGTAATGCAATGCCTCATCCTTTGTTTTCAATAGATACACATAGCAAAATCTAGTGCAATCATCTATCAGTGTCATGAAATATTTCTTTCCCCCTTTAGTCAACACGCCGTTCATTTCGCACAAATCGGAATGAACAAGTTCTAGAGGTGCCAAATTCCTCGCCTCAGATGCCTTGTGAGGCTTGCGAGGTTGTTTCGATTGAACACAAGTATGGCACTTGGAACCTTTGACCAAAGTGAATTTTGGAATTAAACTCATGTTAGCTAAGCGCGTCATACAACCGAAATTCACATGACAGAGTCGCGAATGCCACACATTAGACTCATCATTCTTGCTAATATGGTTCACAGCATTATGATTATTACACATGTCATTCAAAGAAAAACGGAACAAGCCTCCGCTGTCATAACCTTTACCAACAAAAGTCCCATATTTAGATACGACACATTTATTGGACTCAAACACAAGTCTAAAACCTTCTCTACACAATAGAGAGCCGCTAACTAGATTCTTCTTTATTGAAGGGACATGCTGCACGTTCTTCAGCTGCACGGTCTTTCCCGAAGTAAACTTCAGATCGACCGTACCAACACCATGAACAGCCGCAAGTGACCCGTTTCCCATCAACAAGGAGGAACCTCTCCCGACCTGATAAGAAGAAAACAGAGAAATGTCAGCACATACATGAATATTAGCACCAGTATCCACCCACCAATCAGGTGAATGAAAAATAGAGAGAACTGTAGGTAATATTTTACCGTACCCCGATGTTCCTCCGCCCTCGCTAATGATCATGTTGGCAGACTTCCTGTCTTTGCGCTCAGGACAGTCCTTGGCCCAATGCCCAGACTTGCCACACACAAAGCAGTCTCCCTTTGCCTTTCCCTTGCCTTTCTTCTTAAAATTGGTTGCAACCTTGGGTTTGACATCAGGCTTGACTTTCTTGTTGTTGTGGGATGCATGAGGGTTCTTCTTCTGTACCATATTGGCACTAGAACCTCCCTCAACCTTTTTGCCCCGGACGTCCTTTGCCCTCGCCTTCTCCTCAACACCCAAAGAGCCAATGAGATCAGGAACACTGAACTCTTGTCTCTTGTGCTTTAGAGAAGTGGCAAAGTCCGACCAAGAAGGTGGTAGTTTGGCAATAATGCCACCCGCCACAAACTTGTCCGGCAACTCACAGTTGTTGTTCTCAAGTTCCTTAGCCAGCATCTGAATCTCATGAGCTTGTTCTACTACAGAACGGTCATCGACCATCTTGTAGTCATAGAACTGCTCCATGACATACAGCTCACTGCCGGCGTCAGAAACTCCGAACTTGGCCTCAAGTGCATCCCACATGTCCTTCCCAGAAGGCATGTGCATGTACACGTCCACTATGTTGTCAGCGAGTACACTGATCAATGCTCCACGGAACAGGCAATCCGAAGCCTCGAACTTAGCCTCTTCCTCAGGAGAAAGAGGTGGTTCACTTCGTTTGCCCCGTGAAACATAGAAGCACTGCATCGCTGTCAACCACAATAGTGCACGTGCTTTCCATCTCTTATAGTTTGAACCATCAAAAGCATGTGGTTTCAGTGCAGCAGCAAAGCCAACTACCGAAAATGACCTATCAGGTTTTTGGATTGTTGGAAATATAGTCATTATTCGGCATATTTTAATCCAAGAAATTGAAACAATGATCATGGCATAAGCAGTGTAGGGTGATCTTAACATAACCAGTAGCATACTATGCGCATCATGAATGTCAGAAACAGGAACATACCAGTAACGCGATAACATGCTAGAGGCATCATGTAGAACAGGAACAAGAACATAGCGCACACAGTATAGCGCTAACAATGGGAACAGGAATAGCGCTAACAGCAGTAGCAGGAGGAGAAGATTATACCCCGAGAATGGCCCTCCGCTGGATGGTGAGGCAGAATTGCCTCCGTTGTTGTAGTCGTTCACGGCACCTCCTCCTGGCGCACCAGCTCCGGATCCAGCTCCTGTCGGCGGCGGCGCACCAGCTCCTGTCGGCGGCGGCGCACCACCTCCGCCGGTAGCGGCGGCAGCAACTCCAGACATGGCGATGAGCAGTCGTGCAGGAGGCACTCCCCAAAAACCTGATCACCCGCCTACCCGGTGCAGATCTCAAGCAAAGGTGTGGTTTCGGAGGCACTGCTTCTTCCAATCTCTCGTGCGCGCAAGAGATCAGAAGCGGGGAAGCGAGAGCAACTCAGGCGCGGAGAGGGAGAAACTAACACCGGGAAAGTTGCGGAGGGAATCGTGGGAACGTGGGTTAGTGGCTGCAAAAGGATAGCGACGCGACGCGACGTGATGCACGCCCGCCGCCGCCAGCCTCGCCCACGCCCACGGCCCGGCCCGGCCCGGCGCGCGCGCGCGTGTGGCATTCCGACCCCCACCTCAACTGGTCAACAGGGAGCCTCTAATAACTCCCTATTTAGGTTGAGATATTTCTCGCTTAAATCCTGAGGTGGTATTATTATCCTCAACATTTATTATGGACCTTTGAGATTTAATATTATAAATTGGGCCTAGCCCAATTATTCTAACACTCTTCAGTCTCAGTAGCAGAATGCAAGAAGGGATCTGGTTTGTAGCAGGTGCATTGATACCGAAAACAACTCTCACCTGCCAATATTCTTCTGCTTTACACGTGTGCCGGCATAGTGCTGCCATACCACTGTTCTACTGTGTAAGATCTGTTCTAATTTTCTTCTGGTGTTATACTATAGTGTCGTCAAGTAATGTGCCATTTGTTCCAGACAAAAAGTATAAGTTGGGCAATTTGGTTGTTTTTTCATCTAGCCAAGAGATGTTATTGACAAGGCCCTAGTGGGCTCTTTGGTGTTGTCTTGTTTGCGGTGAGCAAGGATGGCAAATAAATCCAAGCTTGTAATAGTAGAGTTGTTTGACTATGGCAGGTCGGCAGCATGCCAAATCAATGACTTACTGATTCAACTATTGACCACTTAGTATTTGTTTAAATGTAGTGCTTAAAACACCATTGTTGACTTTCAGTTGTGCTGTACTATTTGTCTTGAGAGATGATGTTATTGAAGGCTGTTATGTGTCTTGCAACCACCACCACCTGCAAGTGTAGATATCTGAATTCTCTTTTTGGAATAATGCCCTTGAACATTTTGTAATGATATGTTTTAACAATTTTCTTGGTGAAATGTAGGTGCGCCATGACGACATTGTTGAACATGTTTCATCAATTCTAAAAAGCAATGGCATTGCTCATTCTGGGAAAAGCATTGACACTGGAAAATTTGAATGGTTTGACATCTATTGGCTTTATATATATATATATATATATATATATATATATATATATATATATATATATATATATATATATATATATATATATATATATATATATATATATATATATATATTCAGTTCATGTTTTTGTGCATATAATTTATGTCTTGATTTATTTGTGTTTTGAAGCTACCAACATGATGGGGGGATGCCGATTGGCAAGTCAGATTCACAAAGAGGTGTGTTTCATTTTGGTTGATCCTATTAAAATAAACTAGAAAGGAAAATAGCTGTGAAACTTTATTATGTGTCCACCCATTACAAAGTCATTTGCTGTGGTGAATGCACAACTTTGGAACATTGCAGAAAGCTTATGGCTTGCATCCAGTGCAAAAGGGGGGGCAATCAGACTCTGTACACCAACCTCGGAACTATGCTTTCCATTTCATAAGCTGTCTCATGACCAATTTCATTGCTGATTACAGTGGGCTATGGGGAAACTATTGAAGCGGACAAGTCATCTTCTGATACAGGCGAAGTTAGTAAAATGGTAATGAGATACGTAATTAAATTTATTTGTTGAGTCTAATTCATGCGATGAATTTAGTATGAAAACAAGATTGTTCCTCCAAATTTGCTCCTACTGACCCAATCAATTAACAAGATATGGAAATATTTGATAACATAATGCATAACCATCAACTGTTGCCTTGTTAACAACAGAATGAATACTCACTACTTAAATCTGAGTGTTTTTATAATTTTGTTTATACGTTCAGATGCTAATTTTCTCATGTAAACAGATCCTGGGAAAGCAACCACCTAAAGGATTAGCCATAAAGGAAGTGAGAAATATGTTCTTCCCATACTGGAAATCGGTGTTGTCTCGTCGGTTGCAGCTGAAGATAGTTCCATCCTGTCAACCAAGCAGGAAGGACTTGCTAAGTGCTGAAGCGAGCAGGAAGGGGACCAAGAGTATTGACCACCCGTGTAACACAATCAAATCAATGGGAGATCGTGGTTTGATGTCAAGTGAATCCAGAAGGATGCTTTATACTGTTGCTTCAATGTCCCGGAAGGTGTTTAAGCGCACTTGAGTACAGAAAATCTTTGGTGGTATGCTTGTTGAAACACATACTCCCTCCGTTTCTTTTTATTTGACGCTACAGTGCAAATCAGAATCGTTTTTTTGTTTGACGCTACCAGTTCATCCGTCCTAGTCACGTTTGTTAATTTCCATCGTTGCCCTCCATCTCAACATCGCCACGGCGCTGCCTCGTCCTCATCGCGACCGGACTCGCTCGCCACTGTCTCCTCCCACGCGCCGCTGCCGTTCATGCCTCCCGTGCGCCGCCGCCGCACCCCAATTTGGCGGCAACCGGCCACCCCGAGCTGTGGCCTGTGGGGCAAGCAAGAGTCGGGCAGCATGGCGCACAGGGAGCCGGACGTCGGGCTTGCTGCTGCCGCCACTGTTGTTCTTGCCACTCGGCTGAAACCAAGCAGAACGTACTGCATCTGCAGATGACATCGTCGTTATTGCCGTTCGGCTGGAGATCAACCAGAACCAGGGCTTCTCCTCTCCTTCTGCTTAAATTGTAAATTGGGCAAAACCAGGCAATTAGGCAATGAAAATTGGAGGAAATGAGAAAAAAGAAATTAAACAAGCTGGAAGTTGGAGAAGGCGAGATCGAGGAGCTCACTTACAGAGAGGGTGACGAGTGAGGAGCCGAGGTCCGGGGAGGACATGCTGCTTGGAGACGAGAAAGGAGGAGGACTGAATCGAGAAGGACCGCTTGATCTCAGGCTCCAACGCCGCTTTCACCGGGAAGGTCGGAGAAGAAAGGGCGACGCGGCGTCCGGGAAGAGCGTTGTGCAGCGGGTTCCTCCTCCTGTGGTCGCGAGCAGCGGCGTTTGGGAGACGACGAGCGAACCGGCGTCGAGGCAGCGCGGGGGAGATGGCAAGGGAGCCGGCGTGGAGGGAGACGGCCGCGCCGCGCGCACTGTGCTCCTCCCTGTCGTCCAAAAGGGATGAAGGGCAAAATAGTAAAATCGCTCTATCCTTAATTTTGTCCATGCCGTCGGAAACGTCATATATATCGAAACGGAGGGAGTATATTTTTTCTATAATAAGCTTCTAGAATGTCTTTTGGTCATAGTGCCCCCTACATTCTCATTGTTGCTTTAATCTTTGTGCAGGTCTCAGAAAAAGCAATGAAACTTTGAGCTTACATCAGACGTTTCTATCCTGTTGGGCTAGAAACTGTGTTTCATGGTTATGGTCCATACTTTTTAATTTGAAAACCTTGATTGCAGTGTAATATTAAGATTTAACATATATTCCTTCTGTCCCAAAAAAACGAATCTAGTACTGGATGTGACATATATTAGTACTACGAATCTGGATATAGAGATATGTCACTATGTCACATCCAGTACTAGATTCGTTTTTTTATGGGACAGAGGGAGTACGATGGAACGTCATTTATTTCTTGTAGTGTGCCAGGCAAAAGCTGACCCGGTAAGTGATCAACGGGCTAAATATTGTGCTGCCTCTAAAGTAGAATATCGTGGTATGGAAAACATGTCTAGTGGTTGATTTGTTCTCCGAACATGCGTTTATATTTCTCAGAGAAAACAACTTCTATATTTCAGTACATCAATTTTTTTTGCTGAATTTTTATTCTAATCATTAGGGCCTGTTTAGTAGAGCTCTAACTCCTAATTTAACTTCAGGTGTTAGATCTGGAGTAGAGTTGTGGAGCTGTCTATCTAGTATCTGCTAGACCATTCCCATATTTGTATTTGGTATGACTGGTGAGTTTGCTAGTTGCTACCATGTTGATGCTGGCACATTACCGTGGATTCTGAATCCCCGTGTGGCCGTGTGTACAGAAAGACACCCAAGTTTAGCTAACCCAAGTTTGGTACTAGTGATTAATATGGTGTGCATAGATACCTGCCACATCACAGTGTAAAGAAGGGTTATCATGTTGATATGTGCAACATGGACTAGCATATATACAAATGTAAAGTAGGTCAATCTAGCAGATTAATCTGAACATTTTATCAAAGGAAAACTACCGGCAGAGGGTAAATTCAACAGATTTTTTGATCTGCATGTATTGACTAGGCTGTTTGAGTTGATTGGAAGAGTATGTGAAGCAGTGGTGCGTTTTGACGAAATGGTACAGGCGCAGCAGCAGGCACATTCGGAAAGATTGATTTCTTCACCTTTTGCTTCTTGCTTTGTTTCAGAGGAACATCTTCACTTTCTTTTTTCTGTTTGCGTGCTTCTGGAGATATGCAGGCTACTAATTAAACAACCAAACAGGGTTTATCATCTTATTGTTTTATACATTAAAGATTTTTCTCTCTATAAACTTTTGAGAACTTTTTCCGAGATGTCATATTCTATCAATAAAGAACTAGGACTTGTGGAAGCAGAATTAAGGGTACCTTCAAATGTCCATGAAATGCTGAATGTTTAATTGCTTCTTGTGAGGGAAATGTTTCCTTCCATCAATGAGAAATGGGCCCATTTGTTTCAGCTCGCAAACAACTCTGGACCCTAGTCTTCGTAGGCCGGAACGGGAGTTAGCCCATAGCAGAGCATTGTGGCCCAATCATGATTATTTGCATTTGGAAAAAGTACACCGAAGGTCCCTCAACTTGTAATCTTACAAAACCGTTCATTTTAGGTCCCTCGGTGGTTTTTACCCCGGTTTTGTCCGACGTGGCGGCTGAGTCAACGTAGGACCCACGTGGGCCCCACATGTCAAACAGTCCATGTCAGCCACTTCTTACCCTCCCTCTCAACTCACTTCCTCTCTCCTCTCCTCTCCACGTCGATGGCCGGCGGAGAGCAGCCAGGGTGCGGCAGGATGGTGCGACGGTCACGGTCGCCGGTGCAACAGAGGAGCACGCCGCGGTCGAGCGCCGCAATGGCCTCCCTTGTCTCTGACGTGCCTTCATCACTGCTATGGCCTCCCTTGTCTTCACTGCATAGAGCGAGGAGCACGCGGGCAAAGTGATGCGCGAGGCGGTCACTAACCTCGCCCCGAGGGCCAGCGGCAGAGAGCACGGCATCCACGACGCGGCGTGCCCCATCGAAGTCTCCCTGGTCGACGAGGTTAGCGCACGCGAGCTCTGCGGAGGCTGGCCGGCTGGTGGGGAGGAGGCCTGCGAGGCGAGGTGGAACCGTCGGCGAAATCCTCGAAGCTATCGCAGCCCACCACCGCCACACCCTCGCCCCCGCACGCGACAGGATGCTTGTCCGCATGGCCTGCCGGGTCCCGACCAGCGCGAGGATGTCGTGCAGTTGCTCCCCTGCTGGACGCTGCCCGCTGCAGATCTGGCGCCTGCGCCTCGGCGGCGGCGGCGTGAGGGAAGCCCTCCTGCTCCGGCGGCGTGGGAGGGCAAGCACAGGAGGACGAGGCGGAGGTGGATGGCGCCGACAGGGAGAGGAAGGATGCCGCCGTTGTCATCCATAGCCGCACGTGGAGAGACGATGGAGGCTGGCAGCGTGGGAGGGCAAGCGCGGGTTGACGAGGCGGAGGCAGATGGCGCCAACAGAGAGAGAGAGGTCGCCGCCGTCGTCATCCATGCCCGCAAGTGGAGAGACGATGGAGGCCAGCGGCGTGGGAGGGCAAGCGCGGGTGGACGAGGCGGAGGCGGATGGCGCCGACGGGGAGAGGGAAGTCGCCGTCGTCGTCATCCATGGTCGTCATCCATGGTGGCACGTGGAAAGGCGACGGAGGCCGGCGGCATGGGAGGGCGGGCGCGGGAGGACGAGGTGGACGTGGATGGCGCTGACGGGGAGCGCGAGGACGTCACCGCAGATCTGGCGCCTGCGCCGTCGGCGGTGGCGGTGGTGGCGGCGTGGGGGGAGACCCTCCTGCTTCCACATCGTCGCGGCCGCCGCCGTTCGCCGGCCTCCCGACATCTTCCTCTCCTGCCTGGCACCCTCGCCCCGCCGGCTGGCTTGCTCGGACTGAGAAGAAAAAGTGAGAGAAAGGAGGAAGGGAGAGAAGAGGGGAAAGACAAAGTGATGACGTGGACAATCTGACATGTGGGGCCTACGTGGGTCTCATGCTGACTCAACTGCCACATCGGACAAAACCGGGGTCAAAACCACCGAGGGACTTAAAATGAACGGTTTTGTAAGATGAGGGATGTCATATATCTAGTTTTGTGGTTGGGGGACGATTTTGTAACTCGATTACAAGTTGAGGGACCTTCGGTGTACTTTTTCCTTTGCATTTTACTCTCTTCTGTTTCGGATCACACAAAAAGTTGTCCCGCACTCGGCACCAATTCATTTTATGTTGTTTCAAAAAAAAAATCATTTTATGTATGTCCAGTAAAAAATGGTTTCCACGATCTGTATAATTGCCACTTTTGAAGCTCCAGAAACAGTTGCTGAGTTACCTAGTCATGATTTTGTTCTAAAGTGTGTTAACTTTACACTTTGCAATCCATGCACTTTGGTGATATGACCTTCAGTTAAGCATTGGTCGGCACTTTCTGCTAATCTGAAAAGCTAATGCCAGCACGCGGCTATGCATTGTCCAGGATATACATAACATATTCAGAAACACACACACACAGAGTAGATCAGCAAGGAAGGCATTGTGGTATTTGTAATTGATATTCTGATAGAGTGATTCAGTTCTGTTGCAAATAATAATATTTGCCTATATAATAAGCTTCAAAAACAACATAGACGAATAATGTCTACCACTTACTAATACTACTACCACTAAGCTTTCAAATAAATCAAACAATTCATAAATGAAATATAAGAGTATCTCTGTTTCTACTCTCTGGCTGCTCTGTTTCTGAAATGTCTAGATAGGCCGCTTCTCAGTCTCCGCACAAGTTAAAATTTTACATTACTGCAGACTTCCAACTAGCAACAACATATGTGCCTGCCTGACATAGACAAAAAAAAAAGATTAATTGGATCCATGCCACTGCAACTTTGCAAAATTTTTAAAAAATGCTACTACTATTTGTCATATTGGCTATGTGCCACTGGAAATTTCTAAAATTGAAACCATACCACTGAAAATTTCTAAAATTGAAACCATGCCACTCCCATCCCTTTTTCCGTCTCCTCTCTCACGCCGTCTCCGTTCCCGTCCTCATCCCCCTTCC